CTGTTTTAGCCAAACCAGGACAACTTCTACTCCACTAATCTTGTCACAGTACAGATTAAGCTCTTGAAATGCTTTTTCACCTTAAATATAAGACCCTTTTAGCTTAACTTGGATTGCAGTGTTTATTTTCAGGATTTACTAACAAATCAAAAATGGTGAGACACTAGAGTTCATCTGCTGCCTCTCCATTAGTGACCAAAAAAGAAATCCATCCTCTTCTGACATTTCAACATCTACTGTTCCGTTTCAGAGTTGTCCTCTCAGAGATGAGATGCCCTCTCCCCATCAAACATCAGTGTACATTCCATTGATGAAGTAATCCATGTGGGTATAATGCTTCTTCTGAAGACATTTCTGTATTCTCTTTCCCATCAGTGCAGTAACTATCAACAACAATATCACCCCAAAAATCAAATCCACTAGAAGGTTAGTTTTTTCTCCTTGTTGAATGACATCTTTCTCTCTCTGAACTCTTTCTGGCAGGTAGCTTGCTGAATCAAATGGCTCATAACCCTGATGTCCCTTTTGGGAAGCTGTGGGGGAATCACTAGTATCCAGAGCAAAACTTGAAAAAGAGGGGAAGGTAACACGGCTGGTATCCTTGGAAGAGACAACTGTGGGCGCAGGAGAGACGGCTGGAGTTCTTAGCCATGACGGGGTGGTAGCAGATCTGGATTTTGTGGTCACCTGCTTGGTTGTGGAAGTAGAAGCAGAAGTTGTGGTGGCAGCAGGGATACCAGGTTTAGCTCTAGCAGTCGCGGAAGGCGGAAAGGGAGCTGTGGTGGTAGTGGTGGTGGTGATAGTAGTAGGTGTAGCACCACCAGTAAGGAGAGAGGTTTTAGAAGATTCCAGTTGGGTGGTACTTGTAGGCAGAGGAGTAATAGTAGTACTGCTGGGTTTCAGAACAACAGACTGAGTGGTGGGGAACGAAGCAGAAGGGTTTCCAATTCGAACAGCAGAAGATGTATTTGGCGTCAGGTTAATTACTTTCTGCCTCGGGATGGGGTCTAAGCTCTCAGGATGTTTTGCCCTTTGAGATTCAGGAAAAACTGTATGAAATTCACTGTTGTCTAAATGCTTGCCCATGTGGTTCAGGAGTTTAGATGCCTGACGAGAGACAGATTGTTGCAAAGCAGGGGTATGCTTCTGATGGCTAGTCTGACTGCCAGAAATAAAGGCTCCAGCATCTGAAGACAAAGAATGCCTATTTGAAGAAAAGTCCTCACTTTTGAAGGATGTATCCTCTGGGGCATGGGCGTCTGGAAACAGAAAGGAAATACCAGTATTTAATTATTAATTGACTACTACAGAGCTTACTCTATTTGTATTTCTTAGTAAGAGGGCTATAAGGGAGCTGCAGAAAACAATGAGTAATGAAACCGAGGCATCACGACCTTCCTTTCTTTAAAACATGCAGAGTCACTCTTAAATTCTGTCTGCGTCATAAGATCTGTCAGCCTCAAACCTGGGCACATCAGACCTCAATCGCAGCTTCTCACAGAGTTGACCTGTGCCTAGTGATCATCCCAGTCTGATTTTTTGATACTCGTATTGCCTGCACATAAGTGTTTAGTTAGAGGTGTGAGTAGGCCCATTGCCTTCAAACCATTCTCAGCCTCGGTCAGTTAAGAAGTAGATATTGTCCACCTCACTTTTATTTGTCAGGTGTACACATTTCCACCTAGCCAAGATGATTATATACTCCCCTTTCTTGTAATATCCAAGCAACTTGTGATTGCTTGACACAATTCAATTCACATACAAAAATTGTCTTATGATACAAGGTGGCAATAATATCCCCATTTTATAGGCCATTTTATACACATACTGATTTGTAGGAAAGACCTGAGCTCCTACTGCCCTGCTGGAAGAAAGACATGCTCCAGGATTCTCTGAGGTATTTGTAGTGAAGACCTCCACAAGAAAGCAGGCTACACTTTCTGATTTCTCCAGAAGTCAATATGTATTCCTCACAAAACAGGTGGTTAAATGTCATTTAATAGAATTTGGAAGCAGGACAACAGTGTTAGGTGACAGAAACTCCATATAAACGATAATCCTAGCAGCTACCTGATTCTAGACAGGTATTATAGAGAGACTTTGGGTGAGCACGAATTCTTGGAAAGACTGGCTAATTGTTATCATTCAGACTTTTATATATAAATATATATATAAATTTTAT